CAAAAGTTGCTCCTACTTGGATGCAAGACTTTGTGAGTAACCACACATCTTCTATTTCCATACCTGAACGTTTTCCCAACACATCGAAAACCTCTTCACATACACCAAACACCTATCCTTTCCATAAATCCCCTGATTTTGACCCTAGCTATTGTCACTTTCTGGCTAATGTCTCTGCAATCCAAGAACCAAAGTCTTATAAGGAAGCTAGCACTAAAGCAGAATGGATTCAAGCGATGGAAAATGAACTTGCAGCCTTGGAAAAAAACCAGACCTGGGAAGTTGTCCCTTTGCCTCAAGGAAAGAATCCCATTGGTTCAAAATGGGTTTATAAAGCAAAATTGAAGCCAGATGGGAGCTTGGACAGATGTAAAGCCAGGCTAGTTGCAAAAGGATATAATCAAGTAGCTGGAATTGATTATGTTGACAGTTTCTCACCTGTGGCAAAATTTGTGACCATCAGAATTTTTTTTGCAATTTCATCTGCTGAACATTGGCCTATATACCAGTTAGACATTAACAATGCGTTCTTGCATGGCTTCGTTGACGAGGAGATTTATTTGTGGCCTCCAGAAGGATACAAGCCACTTAAGGAAGGTGTGTGTGTAAACTTAAAAGATCACTCTATGGCTTGAAGCAGGCTAGCAAGCAGTGGAATTCAGAATTCTGCAAACATTTGCAACTTTATGGTTTCACACAATCAGCACATGATAATTGTCTATTCATTCTCCATTCAGAGAGTGCCACCACAGTTCTTCTTGTTTATGTAGATGATGTGCTCATCACAGGAACCGATGATACAGAATTACAGAGGGTCAAGAGATTTCTGGACACTACCTTCACTATAAAGGATTTGGGCCTTGCTAAATACTTCTTGGGGGATAGAAATAGCACGTTGTCCAGAGAGTCTGTATCTCAACCAAAGGAAGTATGCTATTGACATTATTTCTGATGCTGGTTTGCTTGGTTCCAAACCTGTGGATATTCTCCTGCAAAAGGGTTATAAGTTCACTGCTGCAGGGGTTTTGTATTCACAGCCTGAGCAGTACAGGAGACTTGTAGGCCAATTACTCTATCTCAATCTTACCAGACCGGACTTATCTTATGCTGTTCAGCAACTCAGTCAGTTTGTTAACTCCCCAACCATCTCGCACTGGGAAGTTGCTTTACACTTGCTGAAATACATCAAAGGTACTTTGTCCAAGGGTCTGTTCTTTTGTTCTTCCAACAATTACAAACTCGTTGCTTATTGTGATGCGGATTGGGCCTCTTGTTCAGATTCTAGGAAGTCATTGACTGGTTATTGCATATTTTTGGGTGGAGCTCTCATTTCCTGGAAATCGAAGAAGTAGCAAACCGTTTCCCGAAGTTCTGCTGAAGCTGAGTATCGGAGTATGGCTGCCACTGTGTGTGAACTTCAGTGGTCACTTACCTTCTACAGGATTTTTGTATTACTCCAGTTCTTCCAATTCCTTTGTAGTGTGACCATCAGGCAGCCATCGTTATTAGCGCTAATCCAGTTTTCCATGAACGGACGAAGCATTTGGAAATCGATTGTCATGTAGTTCGTAATCAGTTCAAAGCTGGTCTCATTCTTTCTCAACACATTTCTTCCAAGGATCAAGCTGCAGACATCTTTACTAAGTCTCTCCCATCTCCTCAATTCCGGTTCTTACTGTCCAAGTTGGGATTGATGGATTTTCATCAATCTCCAACTTGAGGGGGGGATGTGGATATTATTCTATTCAAAGGA